GAAGAGAAAATTAAATATCAAGTGGATTTGCTTGAAAATCGTTGCTCGGGAGTTTTTAGGGTCGCTGATTACGAATATGATATCAGTTTTTAAAAATTCAAAATGGCGGATTCAATAATATATACTAAAAAAAGCCTTGTTTTTTCCTGTTTTAAACTGGAATGTCCCCTTAAGAATTTTTGAAAACCGCCATTAGATTTGTATTGAGCGACCCAAAAAGTCCCTAGATGACCAGTTTCAAGCAAATCAAATAACATTTTACAATTTATGTACGCCATATTGGATCCACCATTTTAAATTTTTGAAAACCGACATCAGATTTGAAATCCACAAAATTCCACTGATGCATCGCATTATTTTGAAAAAACACATCCCTTGTATCTGAATCAGGTAGAATATTCCACTGATCATATATATAGGTACACGTTCCAAGCACTGATCAATAATTATATACAAATGAATCAACAATATAATTTTCCTGATTATTTTTGGTTGACCTCTTTTCATTCCTCTCGTGAGTAGCCTCGAAGGAAAATTTTTTTTTCTATTATATATGAAAAAAAAAAATGCAAAAAAAGCGAAGACTTCTTTTCTATTTCGAACGAGCTGTACTATATACAAACGACAATTTGCGATAGTCGTTGTGCAGCGTCGCGCAAGCGCTGCTCTCTCTCACGTTCGTTGAACCATCGCATCCACGAGAGGAGGCAAAACGAGTATATATATATATATATATATATATTCACTGGCAAATATATATATATATATATGTATACTATATATTCCTATATTCTCTGGCAATGTACGCGCCGATTTCGCGCCAGCAATCGCTGACGCCGCCGTGTGCCCGAGGTCCAACGAGCTCCCACGAACGCCTACGAGAGAGCCACTTCTTCCCAAGCCAGGACGCGCGCTCAATTCCCGAATGCGTCGCCGTCGTCGTCGTCGTCGTCGTCGTCATCATCATCATCGTTGTTGTCGTGTTTCTTGGTTCACTCTGCTGTGAGCTGGTGAACGCGAAACACGCGCCTCTCTCCTCTATATTTCACTCTCAAGTCAATTTACAATTCCTTTTCTTTCATTTCTATACGTCTTTTGCGAAATATTTCCATTTCTCGCAAATATTTTTCCTACTTCTCACGGCATTTTATTCTCCTTTCTTTTCTTCCGCTGATAAATTTAAACTCAAATAAATATTTACACACTTTTCTCCAAACAAAATATAACGCGCCGTTAATGTCGCGTTTCTCTCTTCTCTCAACTTTGGTGTTTTCTCAATTTACACATTTTCTAGACACTCTCTGGATTTTTTTATCCCTGAAGAAAATTTCGACGAATTGGAAATTTCAAGAATTGTTTTCTTGGAAAAAAATATTCTCGCAGTAAAATTAATCTTTAAAAAATATTCTTTAAAAAATATTCTTTAAAATAAAAATATTCTCGGAGTAAAAATATTCCCGAATTAAAAAATATTCTCGAAGGAAAGAATTGTTGATAAAAAGTTTCGCACTGGTCAATTTTACTCCGAAGAGAAAAGTCGAGGACGATTTTGAATTTTGGAAAAGAGGAAAATTATACGATTGTACATTAAAATTGTTTAATTCGTTTCGAATGTATTTCCAATTTTTTTCACGATTCTCGACTCTTAAAGGAGGAATCATGCTCATGGATCAAAGGGTCGATGAGACTCGTGGTGAGAAGGGTGGTTGGAGCTGTGAAACAACGTAAAATTCTTTTTCCTCTTCTGCTCTCTTGATTTTTATATCCACACGAGAAAAATTTGGAAATTTTCCGAATTAATATTTCGAAATCCTAAGGAAAGTTCCGTCCTGAATATTAACAGTTTGAATATTGTTGAAACACACGGGGAAAGGTAAAGAAATTTTCCATCTCTATTCTTCTGGTTTTTTTTATAGGGTGAAGGGGAGGAATTTTGTGTGAAAATTGCGCGAAAACAAGAAAAAGAAAAATCGCCTTGAAGAATCGCAAGTGTTTTTTGGACAGATTTCGGGCAAACGTTTTGCATTCGTTTTCCCTCTCTTTGGTACAAATTGGAATTAATTTTGTCAAAACTGTGTTTAAATATTTGGGATTTTTTACAACTATACAAAAACTGTGTTTGTCCAATTTTTCTTTTTTTCAGTTTTTTTTAAACTGTGTTTGTCCAATTTTTCTTTTAACAGTTTTTTTTTAAAAACTGTGTTTGTCCAATTTTTCTTTATTCAGTTTATTCAAAACTGTGTTTAAAAAAATTTTTATTTTTCAAAACTGTGTAAATTTTTTCTTTTATCAATTTTATGAAAACTGTGTTTGAAAATTTTTTCAAAATTGTGTAAAATTTTTTTTTAATATTTCAAAAGAGTGTTTGTAAATTTCTGTTTTTTTAGAAAGAAAAATTCCTGATTTTTAGGGGTAAAATTTTCTTTATTTTGAAAAAAAATTCTATTTTTAAAAAAATTACGTTTTTTTGGGGTAAATATTTTTTTAATTTTTAAAAAGCTTGTATTTTTTCGGAGTTAAAAATTCTTTTTCTGGAAATAATTTCAATGTTTGGAGAAAATTCAGTTTTCGAAGACAAAATTATTTTTTTGTTAGAAAATTTCTATTTTTCAAAAACTTTCTGTTTTTAGGATTAAAAATTCCTGTTTTTGAGGGTAAAATTCCTTTTATTGGGAAATATTTCTATTTTTTGAAAAACACCTATTTTTTGGAGTTAAAAATTTCTTTATTTTTTTTTAAATTGGTTTTTAAGAAAAAATTTCGATAATTAAAAAATTGCTGATATTTGGGGTGAATTCCTTCTTTTGGAATATATTTTTATTTATCAAAAAATTTCTGCTTTGTGGAGTTAAAAATTCCGTTATTTTCGAAAACATTTCTTTCATTAAAAAAGTCCCTGCTTTTGAGAGCAAAATTCCTTTTTTGGAATATATTTCAATTTTTTGAAAAAATCCTGTTTTTTGCAGTTAAAAATTTCTTTATTTTTTTATTTCTGTATTTTTTTAAAATATTTACAAACACTGTTGTGTTCGTAAATTTCTATTTTTTTAAATAAAAAAAAATTCCTAATTTTTTGTGTAAAATTCCTTTTTTAAAATTAAAAATTTCTTTCTATTGAAAAAGTTTATTTTTTTTATGTCAAAATTTCTTTTTTAGGTAAAAATATCAATTTTTCGAAAAATTACCTGTTTTTAAAGTTAAAAATTTCTTTCTTTAGTAAAAACCCTGTTTTTGGAGTAAAAATCCTTTTTTTCGAAAAAAATATTTCTATATTTCTCAAAATTCTCTTTTTTTTAGAAAAAAATTTAAAAACCTTTTGTTTGAAAAAAATTTTTCTCTTTAAAGAAGTTTTCATTTTTGGAACAATTCTTTTTTTTTAATGCAATAAATTTCTTATTTTTTTTTTTGCAAAAAATTATTTCTTTTTAGAAAAATTTCTGATTTTCGAAGAAAATTTCCATTTTTCGAAAAATTTAACGCTTTCACAGTAAAAATTCATTTTCTAGAAAAAAAATTATATCTTCAGAAAGAAAATATTGGTTTGAGATGAAAATTCTTTTTCTTAATTTCTATTTTTGAAAAAATTTGTAACTTTTTCTGTAAAAAATTTTTTTTTTAATCTTTCAATCTTTGGAAAAAATTTTGTGCTTTTAAAGACAAAATCACTTTTTTGGTGAAAAATTCTATTGTTTGGAAAATTTCTATTTTTGAAAAAAATTTTTATCTTCAGAAATAATTTTGTTTTTAGGAGATAATTTTTCTTTAAATTCTATTTTTCGAAAAATTTCTGTTTTTGGGGAATAAATTCTTTTTTTTTTTCAGAAAAAAATTTTACTTTTTAGACTAAAATTTTATTTTTTCGAAATATTTCTCCTCTTTGAATAAAAAAATTCCTTTTTTTCCAGGAGAGAAAAAAATTTATGTCTACAAAATCCATGCTTCTCTTGTTTGAGGGTAGAATTCTTCTTTTTTGGGAAAAAATTCCCTCTTTGGAAAAGTTTATTTTTTTCTGGAAAAATTTATTATCAATAAAAAATTTAATAATTTTCCATTAATTTTCACTAATTTTATGGAAGGAAAATTTATTTCTGTTTTCGTGATTTTGCCTTGGTTCTCTCGATGTTTACTAAAAAATTGATTTTCCCTCGGCAATGCACGCTTTCTCTCTTTCTCTCTCTCTCTGTCTCTCCTGGTGCGCGGTACCATTGGGCGCGTGGCTTATTGATCCCTCCGTCCTCGTTCGTTCCTTGTGTATATGATATTTCAGAACTATAGAGAGAGAGAGAGAGAGGGAAAGGAAATGGAAAAATTGCGAGAGTATATATTAAAAAAAGAGAGAGAAAGAAAGAGAGACAAAGAGAAAAAACAAAAAAGTAGCGACTAGCGTCTAGTCGTCAACTATGATTTATTGTAATAAACAAAAATTCCAGAATTTCCAATTTTTGAGTCTAAACGTCTCAGAATTCGAAAATAAAAAATCTGTTTAATTTTTTTTTTAGGGGAGAAAATTAGTGAAAAATTATTAAAAATTATTATTGAAATTTTTTATTGGAAATTATTATTAAAAATTGTCATTAAAAATTTGGTAAAAAAGTAATCCAACAGAATAATTAATTTTTTATTAGGACAATAAAATGTCTAATATTTAATTATCTAATATTTATTAATCTAATATTTATTTATTTAATATTTATTGAATGTTTCATTATTTAATAATAATTTAATTATCTAATGGTAAATTTAACTTTCGGTAATTAAATAACGAACAAAATAATTAAAAATCGGACAATGAAGGAAAAAAGATTGAATCTTTGGAAGAAAATTTTTTTTCGGGAAATCTTTTTGCTGGAGAGTTAAAATTTTTCCGAATAGAGAACCATTTTTGAAAAAAAGGGGGAAAAGAGAGAAATGAAATCCATTTTTATTTGAATATTTTCATAATTTAGAATAATCTGAATTTTATTGACTAATTTTGTTATTCTTGTTTGTTTTGATTTTAGAGATAAACGGCCGAGATGGAATCGCCTTTGGCCGAGGACTGTGTCATCGCGGCCCAAGAGGATTCCACCTCAGTGAATCCCGAAGAAGCTGGAAGCGAAATCATGCCAACATCCACTGAGAAAATGAATGACGAGACTGGAGATAAAAATGAAAATTCACAAAATGAAATTACATCGTCACCAAATAATGAAACAAGGGAACAAGGGGAAATTCATTCTCCCGAAATAAATGAAGAGAAGAATTTAGTTATCCAACAAGAATCGTCTGATAATTCAAATTCAGTAAAGAAGCAGAATAACGAAGAAGATGTTAATGATGATAACGAAAATGTCAATAATAATAATGATGATGATGAAGAAGATGACGATGATAGTTTGAGATCATTGCCCACCGTATCAAGAAAAAGGCCAGCCACCGATTTCCTGCCGATAAGTGGTGAAATAAAGAAAATTGGCGTCGAAATATCCGAGGAGCAAGCACAACAATTGAAAAATGAAGTGAGAAGACTCTCGCCAATACACGTAAGTCTTCGCGAACGTACTCTAGGTGAAATATCATTAATTTCCGAGCCCCGCATTTTTCTCGACGACAATGTTAGATGTAAAAATGAGACTGAATCATCGAGTGCCGATGACGATGAGAATATTGTTAATAATGTTGATGATTCGCGAGTGAAAAATAGTGTTAAAGTGAATGAGAAGTGTATTGATAGTTTAGCAACAACATCGAGCAATGAGAATACAAAAGGACTACGTGAATTGGTTCTTGTACTTTCCAGGGTGGACGCGATAGAACAAAAAAATAGTAGCATTAATAGTTCCAATAACAACAATAGTGAAAAAATTGAAAAGAAAATTACTCCCAATGAGGATGATAATTTAGATAAATCAAAGCAGGAGGATGAGAAAATTCACAGTGATATTAAAAATGAAGAAGACGAGAATACGAGGACGTTGAATAATGCGGAAGAAATTGTCCAAAAATGTCAAGATGATGATAATGGACCTGAAAGAAAGAGTGAACAATTTTTAATTGAGAAATTAGAAACAAATGAGGAGTATACAATTAATAATGGAATCGAGACGAGAAAAATGAATCAAATTTGGGAGAGTAAAGAATTGGTGGATGGTATGGAAAAAATTGAGGTGGACGAGGAAATTATTTTTGCAAATTCAACACTTGGAATTGATGATGATATACAAACGGTGGATGTTGGTGGGAATCCGTTGGAATTGGAAACAATTGGATTGACCTCGGAAATTCAAGTGAGTGTTGTTGATACTGAGGAAACGGAAACAGAGACTGGTTCTGATAGTTCGGAAGTTATCGCGTCGATGAATGCTGTTCAATTTGGTGTTGATCATCATCATCATCATCATGATCAGGATCATCATCATCATGATCATAATCATCATCATCATCATGTGATTTCGAATCAAATTTCATGTTCGGAGAGTGATCCGCTCATTTGTGATGATATTACGCCGGATATAATGACGCGATTGGAACCCGAGAGACCAGAAGCATTCACTGAGGATTCAGCGGAGAGCCTTGCACTTGCCACTGGTTCCAGGGACGAGGTGAGATCCGATGGAAGTGATTCGGGACTTGGTAGTGAAATTCCTGGTGATTCTGGACCAGCACCAGCTCAGGAGAGTGATTCGGAGACGTCGTTTCTTGATAGGATACCTGATGAAATTCTGTCGGATAAGGAAAAAAGTGAGTCAATTATTTTTTTATTCCTTGTTGTTGATTCTCTTGGTTTAATTTCAATACGTTGAACGTTGAACGTTGAAGTCCACAACGTTTATCAACGAAAAAAATTATTTTATGCTTTTAAGTATTATTCTTCATTTAATATTTAATTGTAAAATAATTGTTATCAAAATATAAACATCAATCTTTTTTTAAAAATATTTTTGAACCAATATTGCTGCGTCATTTTTAATAAATTTACTAAGTGAACAATTTTTTTTCGTTGATTAATATTGTGGACTTTAACTTGGTATTTCAATTCGAAAAAAAAGTCAGGGATTTTTATTATAAGTACCTACTGGAAAAATTAAATTTTTAGAATTCATAAGGGAATTTTGAATTCTGATCAACGAAAAAAAAATTGTTCACAAAGGAAATTAATTTTTGATAACGCAGCAATATTGCCACAAAAATATTTAGAAAAAAAATTGATGTTCATGTTTTGATGATAATTGTTTTACAATTAAATTTTAAATTATAAATAATATTTGAATGTTTTAAATAAATGTTTTTCGTTGATCAACGTTGTGGACTTCAATTTCATAATAATTTTACTTAAATATTTCAAAATTAATTAAATTTTAAAAAAGTTGCGTTCACAATTTTCATAATTAGATGAAGTTTTCAAAAGATTTCAATTTGAAATTTTATAAAATTTCAATTTTGAATGAATTTGACTAGAAAATGTAAAGAATTTAGATTTTTAAAAAAAAATTTTAATAATTCAAATTCCTTCCAACGTTTTGAATCGTTTTGAACGTTCAAATGAACGAAATACTTTTTATTAAAAATATTTTCATAAATTACTGATTGCAATAAAAATTAAAAACCTAAATCTTATATTTAGAAACTCAATAATTAATTTTATTCATAGTGAAACAAAATATTATAATAAAAATTTAATTTAAAGAAGAAAAAAATTAATTTCGTTCATTTGATTATTCAGAACTATCGGATCATGAATTCTTTTAAAAAAGTTAAACAAAATATTAAAATAAAAATTTTAATTAAAGAAGAGAAAAATAAATTTCGTTCATTTGAATAATCAGAACTATCGGATGATGAATTCTTTTGAAATCAGTTGACTTTTTTAATATAGGTATATGTATTTAATTAATTACATATTAAAAATAATGAATTTTTAGAGAAATTTTAGTTGAAAACACAAAAAAAATGGAATTTTGGAGAAGTTACAAATAATTGCAAAAATTCAATTATTTTCAAAAGTAATAAAAATTCTTCGCAGAAATTCAATTATCTTCAAAAAATTTTTTTAATTCTCGTCAAAATTTCAATTATTTTAAATTTTTTATCAATTTAATAAAATTCTTTTCCGAAATTAAATTATTTTCAAAAATTTGATTGAAATTTTTGACAAAATTCAAATTATTTTCAAAAACTTTTCTCAATTCAATGATTTTCAATATCTACTATTTTAATAAAATTTTCCAAACGAATTTAATTATTTAAAAAAAATTGTAATAAAATTCTACGCAAACCTTTAATTATTTTCATAAAATAATAAAAATTTCACAGGAATTCAATTATTTAAAAATTTTTTTGCAATCATTCAATTATTTTCATAAATAATAATATTTTTATCGGGATTCAATTATTTTCGTAAAAAATAAAATTCTTTTTAGGAAATCAATTATTTTTATATAAATAATAAAACTCAATGCAGAATTTCAATTATTTTTAATACAATTTCAATCCAATTCCTCGAAAAATGTAATCATTCTTAAAAATTTTATTAAAATTCGTCGAAAGAATTAAATTAATTAAAAAATTGTTGATAAAATTTTTCATAAGAATTCAATTTTGAGAAATATTCAATTATTTAATAAATAATGTATTTTTGCATTTAAATAATCGAATTTTCGTAGAATTTTCTAATAAAAATATATTTAAAAATAAATTTCAGTTAAAATTTTAGATAATAATTAAATATAAAAGCATTGTAGTGCATAAATTTTTAGAAATAATTGAATTTTGAAAAGGTTTCAAATTAAAATTTTTAAAAATGTGAATTTTTCATACTTTTCACTAACAATTCTGTAAAATTAATTTTTTTGAAAAAGTTCAATTGAATTTTTTTCAAAATTATTTTGAAGTTTTTATTTTCTAATATATATTTAATTGAAAAATTTCCAAATAATCAAAATTTTGCAAAATTAAATTGTAAATAAATGGCTTTTGAAAATTCTCAAAGAACTTTTTCAAAAATTATTAAAAATAATTAATTTAAGAAGAATTTTAGTTAAAAATTCTAGAAAGAAGTAATTGAATTAAAATTATGAAAATAATTTTGAAGAAGTTACAGTAACAATATTCTTATAATATAAAATAATTTTATCACTCGATCATCTTTAATTATTAGAAAACATGAAGAAATCGATCACTCCGAGTCGAAGACTCGGAGTTATCGATTTCTTCATGTTTTCTAATAATATTATTCTTAGAAGTTATTGAATTTCAAAAGGTTTGAATTTGAAATTTTTGAAAATCTTAATTCTCATGCCAAAATAATAATGATTAAATATTTATTTTAAAAAAAAGTTATTGGTGTTTTCGAATAATTTTACAATGAAAGAAATTCGTCAATAAGTGTAATAGAAAATTTTTTTTTTTTTAAGGAGGTTAAAGTTTTGAACGTTCAAATGAACGAAATTTATTTATTTCTTCTTCAAATTAAATTTTTATTACTACAATTTTGCGTCACTATTAAGCAAATTAATTATAATGTTTCTAAATGTAAAATTTGAGTTTTTAATTTGAATTGTAATCAATAATCTATGAAAATATTTTTAACAAAAAATATTTCGTTCATTTGAACGTTCAAAACTTTTTGTTCATTTTTTTGAACCATTTTTGGAGTGAATCAGAATACTCTTTAGGATCGAGAAAGAAGTTAAAGTTTTTTCTGGAATACAAGGAAAAGTTAGGGACAAAAAAAATGAAAATTTGAAATCAGAAATTTGTTAGAATTGGAAAACAAAATTCCGAACATATCAATTTACAAAAGGAAATATTTTTTATAATTAATATTTATATTATTATTTATTAAAAACAAAAAATTTTTTCATTTCTCAATTTACTGATTTTCAAAAATATTGGAATGCAAAAAAATATTTCGTTCATTTGAAGGTTGAAAACTTTTAGTGAGAAGCTGAAGAATAAATAATAGATTTTTTTATGTTTGATAAATATTATGATCGCAGAAGTTGATTATTATAATTTTTAACGTGATGCATTGTTTTTCATTTTAAATGCCATTTGAATTTGAATTAGGATTTAAATATGAATTTAAAGAGACAATTATTAAAGTTTAAATTTCAAGACAGACTGAATATAAAATTCCATTTATTTCAACGGTTTTGAATTTTAAATTGACCTCAATTCAAAAAGCTGTAAACTATATAATAGAACTATTTTTGGAATTTTAATTATTTACAATGTTTAAATAAATAAATGTACATTTTTTCTATAAAAATTCGAATAATAAATTTCTCAATAGTTCTTTATTTATCGCAATAATTTTAAAAATCAGATCAAAATTTGATAATATTTCGTTGTTATCAATTGATAGGAATGCAGAAATAAAAAAATTTAGTTGAAAAATTAATATTACTAGTTTAATTTATTTAATAATATAATTAATTATTAAATTAATATTCTTCACAATATTTATATTTATTTTTTAATCCCTATTGTGTTTCGATTATCATTTTAATTACATATTCTTCACTGAAATCTTTCATTTTTTTTTAATTTCAAGAAATGAATAAATTAGGCATTATTATTTATAAAAATTATAATAATAATTAAAATTGTTATAACTAAAATAAATAATTAATAATTAATTAATTATATTTTTATGTACCACATTTGGAAATGTTTGAGAATTAAATTTTTAAGTATCGTAATTTTTTTGTCCCTTTATTTTAATAATTTAAACGCCACAAAAAGTGAATACAATATTTTCGTCCTGGTATTTTTAATTAATATTTGAAAAGTGAGAGAGAGTCGAGTTGAAAAGCAACTCTTTGACTTCCACAACTATAGTTATAAGTTCAAAGAGCGTGCAATCAATATTTCGAAAATTGTAGTAATTTTTTTTTATTTTCTATGAGTACGCTGACATATAGCGGAAATTAGTTTAAGTTAATCACATCTCATGTCTGCTATATTGATTTTTCACAAAAAGAAAGAAGAAAAAAAAATTAAAAAGAAAAAAAAAATGCGCTAAAATTACGTATCCACTTTTCTATGAGTACATCAAACGAGAGAGAGAGAGATTGAGTGAGAGAGAAAAATGTTTTTTTATTTAGAACTGCACTTGAGTTTGATTAAAATTTACTAATTTATCTTCACGTACTCGTGCAGTTTTAAAGTCAAAAATCTACTTTTCTATTTTTAATGTGAATATTTAATCAATATCTCGATAACGCGAATGATTTTGCGCAATTTCGCGCACAATAGAACAATTTGAATATTGAAAATTCAATTTTAATTTAATGAAATGTCTATATAAAAAACTGCAAATTTTATTTTTGTATATGAAAAAAAGTATTTTTTTTATCGAAGAAATTTTTTTAATCAAAAATTGGTATTTTTAATAAAGAATTCCCGTTTTATTAATATTTTTTTGTGCTGAGAAATATTTTCTTCTCATTTTATTTTACTAATAACTAGGTAGAAATAATTTTCTTTTTTCATTAAACAAATTTTTCTAATGAATATTTTTTCTTCTAAATAAATTTTCTTTCGAAAAAAATTTGCAAAAAATTTTCTTTTAATTAAAAATATTTTATTTTGACAAGTATATTTATTAAATTACTGATTTAATAATTTCTTTTTACTACATACAATATTTATAACTGAAACAATTTTTTCCAGAAACTAATTTTGTTTTTAATTTAAAATATTTTTTTTCACAAATATTTTTGTTGAACTACTTTTTTACTAATTTTTTTTTTTTTACTAAAATCATTTTTGTTTCTAAAAATGATTTTCTTTTTTCATTAAACAAATTTTTATTTTGACAAATATATTTGTTCAAATACCTTCTGTTTTTTTTAACTGCAAATTTTTATCTAAAAAATATTTTTTTGTTAATAGTATTTTTTTGTAAAAAAAATTTCTGTATTGTATTAAAGACTATTTTTTAGAAAAAAAAAATAAAAAATACTTTTTTGTTTGATTAAAAACTCTTTCTATTTCTTTTATTTCATAAAAAAAATCCGCAAAATTCCAATATAGCTGGCATTTTTTAATTAATTAATTGAAAGGAAAATGACAAACGACAATTTTTTTACCGAAAATTAAAAATTAAAATTTTTGAAATAAATAATAAAATAAAAAATAAATTCTGATTTTCATTAATTAATTATCATAAAGTGAAATTGTTTTTGTCGTGAATCAAGCACGCGATATGTAGTTTAAAAGAGAGAGAGAGAGATGGAGAAAGAAATGTGTTTATATATAAACATGTAATCAAAGTATTTTCTTTCAGCTGTGAATCAATTGGAAACCTACGTCCCCGAGGTGAATGGTCAGTGCATGCCGCAGACGTCGCTTCCAACTTTTCGAAGTCCTCCAAAGAGTAATCTAAAGCGTAGATTAGTTGATTGCATGGAGGGTGAGCCAAATGCGAAGAGAACAAATGCAGATGAACCACCGAAAAAGAAACGTAACATCCAATTCGATGCGGTCACCGTCTATTATTTCCCCCGGGCACAAGGTTTCACTTGTGTTCCATCTCAGGTTGGTATATTCGTTGATATTGTCAAACAATTCACACTGTTCATTTTTATTTTTAATTCCATTTTTTTCTCTTTGTATTTTTTACCAATTATTTTAGTTTTAAACTTTGGAAATTTTTAGTTCAAAATATTTCCAGTTCATCATTATTTTTTGTAATTTTCGTTTTTTTATTTTTGGTTCTTTTGTAGTTTCTGTTTTCTGATTTTATTTTGGTTTTTTGTAATTTTTGTTGTTTATTATATATATATTTTTTTTTTTGCTATCATCCTGAAATTCTGAACGTTCAAATTAACAAAATTTATAAAATATATCTTCTTCAAATTCAATTTTTATTACAATAATTTTGAGACCCTATCAAAAAAGTTAATTTCTAAAGTTTTTAAAAATAACATTTTCTTTTTTAAATTTTCAATTGAATCAGTAATTAATGTAAATATTTTAATAATAAATATATTTCGTACATTTGAAAGTTCAAAACTTGTAATTCATTAATTGCTTTAATTAAAATTCAACATTTTTTCTTCTCTTTTATGGCATTTAGCTTGATTATTTTTGAGCTCTTCAAAAACTCTTTGTCCACTCTTTGGAAGAATTTCAATTATTTTTAATACAATTTTAATCGAATTCCTCGAAAAATATAATTATTCTTAAAAATTTTATTAAAGTTCGTCGAAAGAATTCAATTATTTAAAAAATTGTTGCTAAAATTTTTTATGGGAGTTTAGTTGAATTTAGAGAAACACTCAACTATTGAATATATTATTTATTTTTATATTTAAATAATTGATTTCTAGTAGAATTTTCTAATAAAAATTTATTTAAAAATTAATTTCAGTTAAAATTTGAAATAATTTAATTTTTGAAGAAATTACTAATAATTGCAATTTTTAAAAATAATTGAATTTTGTAAAGGTTTCAAATTAAAATCTTTGAAAAATCTAAATTTTTCTTACTTTTAATTAAAGATTCTATACAACCAGTTTTTTTCTAAAAGCTTAATCGAAATTTCTTAAAATTATTTCAAGTTTTTATTTTCTAATGAATATATTTAATTGAAAAAATTTCAAATAATTGAAATTTCACGTAAAATTGAATTGTACATAAGTAAATGAGAATTTAAACATTTTCAAAGAAGAACTTTTTCCAAAATTATTAAAAATTGATTTAAAGAAGAATTTTATTTAAAAATTGTAGAAAATAATAATTGAATTGAAATGATGAAAATTATTTTGAAGAAGTTGCAAAAAGGTTTTGAATTTGAGATTTTTGAAAATCTTAATTCCCATGGAAAAATAATAATCAATAAATATTTAATTTAAAATGAAGTTTTTGAATAATTTTACAATTAAGGAAATCAGGGAAAAGTCGGGGAAAAACAAAATTACATTTTTGTGGCAAACTTGTTTATGTCTCACATTGCCAATTTTATAAAATTCATAGTTTCGTAAGCTCCCGAAACTTTTATTTAAAGTTCTAAGATACTATTCCATGTTTCTTTTTTTAATTTTTTGTACTTTGTTTCTTTTTTGGTTCTTCTGTAATTTTTCTTTTTCTCTTTATTTTTCTTTAAATTTAAATTTCTAAATTTTTAGATTTTCAGTAATTTGTCATTTTCTTCTTGTTTCTTTTATAATTTCGGGTTTTTTTTGTTATTTTTATTGTATTTTATTGTACGATTTATTTTGTTAATTTTGGTAATTTTTGTTTTGTTTTATTTTTTAATTTTTTTTCAATTTAAACTTTTTTAAGCTCTCGAAACTTTTATTTAAAATTTGTAATATTTCAAGATTTTTATAACTTTTGTTTTTAAAATTTTCAGATTTTTATTTTTGTTTATTTTGAAATTTTTTATATTTTAGTTTTTTTATAATTTTTCTTTTTGCTTCTTTTGTAATTTTTGTAATTTAGTTTTTTAATTTTCACTTTTTTTGTAATTTTTGGTTTTTTCTGTTTTGCGTTTCTTGTTTTGTGAATTATTCATACTTTTTGTAAACTCTGGAAAATTTCATTCAAATTTAAAAGGACACCGCACTAAATACACTAAAAATGGCTTTCGGTTAAAATTCTTAATATTTTCAAAATTTTTAGTTAAAGGTTTTCTGTTTAAAAAAGTAATTAAGCGAAGGTCAAGAAATAAATAACCGAAAGCCATTTTCAGTGTGTTTAGTGCGGGGTCCTTTCAAGTTTCTTTCAATTTTTGGTTTTTTTAATTTATCTTTTTCTTCTTACCTATTTAATTTGTTAATTTTTATTTTTTTATAATTAATTGTTTGTTTTTGTAATTCTTAATGTTTTTACTTTTCAGTTTTTTTAAATTTTATTTCTTTTCTATTATTTCACCTTACCTAATTTTATTATATTGTAATTATTTTTAAGCTCTGGAAAATTTTATTTAAAATTTTTAATATTTCAAGGGTTTTATGCTTTTGTTTTTTTAAATGTTTAGATTTTGTGTAATTTTTGTTTTTTATTTTATTAAATTCATACACTTGGTTTTTTAAATAAATTTTTCTTTCTAAACTCATTCAAACTTAATTAGTATCGTTATTTAAAATTTTCTTTTATTGAAACTTTTCAATTAAAATTACTATATTTACATAAATTCAAACCAAAATAGTTATAAAATAGTTCCATTTTACTTTTAAATTAATTGAAATTAGTATTTAATGTAATTTTTAAAATTATTATTGTAAAGATTAAAATTGAATTTTTGAAATGTTAAAATATTGATTTGTAATTAATAGAATTTTATTTTTAATTAATTTTATTTATATTAATTTATTTGTTTGAATAAAATAAACAAAAATCCCAAAAAAAACTAGGAAAAATTTGAAATATTGGGTAAAATTAAAAAATTTATTTATCTATTTTGCTTTGTCCGTCTATATAAAATAAATAAATAAATAAATAAATAGAAATCTTAAAAGTGCTTCGGATTGATTAAATGAATAAAATTTAAAAAATTGGTTTTTCTTTTGCAGGGTGGCAGTACACTTGGAATGAGTGCGACTCACACTCATGCGGAGCGTTTTTCACTATCGGAACACGCCGCCGAACAAAGGCGACTTCATCGGGCGAGATTGGCGCAATTACGCACTGAGCGTGCCGCAAATCGTGTCGCGGAAGCAGCGTCAAGCTCAGAGGATCCAAGCGACGACACCGACGAGGAGCAAAGCGATACCGAGGAACTCGATATCGACAGTTACTATTTTTTGCAACCCGTGCCAACATGGCAGCGACGTGCACTTCTCCGGGCAGCTGGCGTTCGACGGATAGACGCCGTCGAGAAGGACGAGTGTCGCGACATTAGAGCGAGTCGCGAGCACTGCGGTTGTGGATGCAAGGGCTACTGCGATCCCGAGAGTTGTCCCTGTAGTCGAGCCAATGTCAAGTGCCAGGTGCGCAATTCTCTAAATCAACAAAATTACTTTCAAAAAAATAAAGAAAAAATAAACAAAATAACGAAATTATATTTTTTTTCCGTTACTTTTTAAAGAAATAAGTAACAAATGCCTAAGTTAAAAAATACTTTAAAAAATCATTTATCTAAAGTTTTGAATGTTCAAATGAATGACTTGCTAAATGACAAATGAATTCTTGTTTCAGTATTTACAAAAATTATTCCACTGGAATGAAAAAATATTGTAATTAATGTAAATTAAACATTTAGTTAATTAAATATCAACTTTTTTTAATATACAACATAATTTTTTTATAAATGCAAATTGCAAATTTTGGATAGTACGACTTTTTGGACTGTTTTCGACTATTTTAAAAAAGGAACTTTTTCGAATTTTCTTCTAAATTTTGTAAAAAATAACAATGTTTTTATATAAATAAATGTAACTAATGACGATTCAGTGTAAAAAATAACTACAATCAAATTTTTCATTTATTATTTATTATTTCATTCAAATTTTTGAAAATCAAATTTTTGGGAATTTCAATGGTAAATTTCGAAAAATATTTAAATTCGTAAAAATTTTAACGAAAAATCTTTGAATGAAAATTAATAAAAATTAGCTTTAAAAAATAATATTAAAATATTTTTAAAAATGTACCAAATTCTTAAAGTTCTTTTATTAAAAGTTTATAGAATTCTATTATATTCAATATTTTCAATTACATATTTCGAAAAATTTTAATAAGCTACAAAAAACACTCAATTTTAAGATTTTTATTTAAATTTCTTCAAAAAATTGATAAATTTTTTTAATTCTTTTAAGAAATTCAAGTATTTTGGAAAAATTACATTACATTTTTAAAAATTCAATTATCTTAAAAAAAATAATAAAAATTTTTTTTAAAACTATACTTTTTTAGACATATGTTACAATTTTGACTTGTTTTAAAAATTTTTAATTAAAGTTCCTCTGGAAAATGAATTAGTTTTTTAAATATCCAAAAATTCTATTTAAAAATTCAATCATTATCAAAAATTTTCACTATATTATATTTTAATTATTTGTAAATGTTTCAATTAAATATAATTAAAAAATATATTATCCAACAAACATTTTTTTTATGTTTTACAAATCAATTTTTAAAAATATTTTCAGTTATTTATTCTCAATAATTCACTTTAATAACTTTTCTAAAAAAATCATCAAGAAAAGTGGCATTTACAATATTATTATAAAAAATTGAATTTTCATGTTTAAATAATAATTCAATTCTCAAAGATTTTTCGAAAAAAATAATTACAATTTTAAAAATACTTTAATTTTTATATTTAAATAATTAAAATCACGAAGATTTTTCAAAAAATTATTGATTTCGTTAAAAAATTGTAATAAAAAATAGAAATTATGCAAATTTTTAAACTGAATTTAGAAATAATCTCGTTAAAAATCGTAATTAACAAATAGAAATTATAGGGATTTTTTTCCTAAAGATATTTAAAATTTTCAACAAAAAAAATGTTTTATAAATATATTAATTTTGGAAATTTTGGTATAAAAATGATGCAAATTATTATTTCTTTTTTTCAAAGAAGAACAGAATTTTGTTTAAAAATTGTGATTAGAAATAGGAATTTTGCAAAATTTTTCTTCTTTTTCAAAAATCTAAAAGAATCTCATAATTTTGTGAACAGAATTGTGATTAAGAAACAGAAAATATGCAAAATAGTTTCTATTTACAAATATTAATTTTTTAACAATTTCCTAAGTTTTGTCAAAATTATAAAAATTCACAAATTTCAGGAAAATAAATATTAGAAATTACAACTTTTTAAAAAAATTTTTTTAGAAATCAAAACTTGTTAGAAAAACTTTTTTTAGAAAATAGATTTCATCAGAAATCGCTTTTTCAGACAAAAATGTTTAGAAAATATTATTTAGAAAAAGTGACCACCTACGATTCTAGAAAATAATTTCTAGAAAATAATTGAATTTTGAAAGAATTACAGTTACAAATTTTGGAAATAATTGAATTCCAGAAGATTTGAATAATTTATAATTTTATTTTAAAAGTTTTAATTTTCTTTGAAAATTAAATAACAAGGATTTAAATATTTATTGAACGAAATTTTTGAATTTTTGAATAATTGAATTTCGAAATCAGTGAATGTTGAAAAAAAATGCAGAATTGAAAAGGAGTTAAAAATATTGTCGTTCATTTGAACTTACGAAGTTGAAGTCCAAAACGTTTATCAACGAAAAAAATTTATTTAATGCATTCAAGTATTATTTTTAATTTAATATTTAATTGTAAAATAATTATTAGCAAAATATGAACATTAATCTTTTTTTCTAAATATTTTTGTGTCAATATTGCTGCGTCATTTTTAATTAATTTACGAAGTGAAAAATTTTTTTTCGTTGATCAACGTTGTGGACTTCAACTTGGTGAACTTTTGAAATTTTAGGAACATGTAATTTTCTTTTCTTTGTATTTTAATTTATTGAAATTTGAAAGAGTGAAAAATGGTTTTATCTATTTTTCAAATTTAAAAGACAGCAAAAAAAGAGAAATTCACAAAAGAAATAAAAAGAAAAAAAAGAAATTTATCGGATCGATTTATTAATATTTGTGTTACAGGTCGATCGAGCTGGTTTTCCCTGTGGATGCTCACGAGATGGTTGTGCAAATAGTTCCGGTAGAATTGAATTTAATCCAGTTCGAGTAAGAACGCACTTTATTCACACATTAATGCGTTTAGAATTGGAGAAAAAGCAACGTGACGAGGAGCAGCATACAGAATCGGATCTAATGGAATCACATCAAGATCAAGGACCATTACGCGATGTTTCCTTGAATTCAGTGATGGACAACACTGCCGAGCAATGCATGAATGGCGGCGGTTTTACAACACTGCATTACGAGAGTCACGAGAGTGTTGTATCAACATGTCAAAGTGTTGTAACTGGCGTAAGGGAAGACAGTTTGGATTTATATGCAATTAGAGATGATTGTTATACGACAAGCGAGGACGCGGTAGATTCTTCGCAAAATTCACAACGTAAACAAATACATCCCGAATTTCATCAGACCTTCCAAACTTTTCCCAATCATGCCAATTCATTTCAACAAAATACCTATGCCGATTATCAAAATTATCAAAATTTACCGTCAACGTCGCGCGCATCACCATTTCAACCGCAATTCCCCGGTAATTCGGGATTTTCACATTATGGCGGCTATGCGACTGATCTTGGTTCAATGCAACTTAATTGTCAAACGCATCAGGGACAACAACAACAGCAGCAGCAACAGCAACAACAACAACAGCAACAACAGGCGACAACTGGTTATGAAACGGCTTTCGCTCAAGATGATGTGACCGGTTCACAATATACAAATTTAAATTCCGTTCAGCCAATGAATGCCGTTGTTCAACAAATGGGTAAATTGGAGCCATTTTCGGAATTATTGGCTGGCAGGTATTCTTATTATGGTGAATTAGAACAACCGAGTCATGGCAATTATCATAACAATGGAACAAAACTCGAGACTGATAAAATTGAAACGAATAATCAGCAGCTTGATAATAATGAGGAGTGCGATGAAAATTTCGGTGAGATTATTAAAAAATCAATGGTTGAGACTGTCTCGGCTTAAATTTTTGTCACAAACGATTCATTTAATTTTTATTTTTACTAAATTGATAATTTGGAAAAATTGAAATAACAAAATTGACAAATTTTTAACAAAATTGACAAATTTTTATTGTTACATCGGAAAAATGATTAAGTTTTTGTCAAGAACTAATTAGCAGAATTTTCATCTCGTGAATTTTCTCTTTAACTTTCTTTTCGATTCAAACAAGTACAGTGAATTCAATACAATTAAATAAAATAAAGAAGATAAATAAATTTTCAGCCTTAAAAATAATAAATTTATTAATTTACTCGAAACACAAAGATTTGATAAATAAAACCAAATCTAAATTTATTAATTTAGTTCCAATGGTTCTTATTGAAGATAATAAACAAAAAAATCAAATTGTGCAGATTAAAATTATACGAAATAAAAATTGTTTAGATTAATATCAAAATTTAGATATCTAATCTAATATCTAATTGAATTTGCGCGATTTTGTAATTTTATTAATTATTTTAAACAGTTGAGAAAAAACAGTTTCAAAGCAGTTGAAACTAAATAAATAAATTTAAAAAAATGAATTTAGATCAATAAATTAATAATAGTTACCAGGAAAAATTTTGTTGGCATAATTTTTATCTAAATTTATTCAGATTATTATCAAGATTAATAAAAATATCTAATCGTGCAGATAAAATTTATGACAAATAAAATTTTTCAAGTTAATTATTATTAGATTCTCAAACTAAATTTATTATTCTAAAAATATTAATTTAGTTTTAACAGCTTTTGTTTGATATAATAAATAAAAATTACAAATCACGCAAATTGAATTCCACTAAATAACATTTTTTAACTTAATTGTTATTAATGGAAATAATTAAAATTTATTAATTCAGTTACAACGGACTTTATTTGAAATATTATAAAAATGCCAAATTCTAGAAATAAAAATTCTGCTAAATATTCTAAATAGAAATCTAAATGGAAACTACATATTTTCATTTGGTTTTTCTGACAATAAAAATTTGAAAAAAACAATTATTTTCAAAGTAAATTGACATTTTAATATTAATTATTAATTCGATAATCAATTCGAATTCAATTGATATTTTAATATCAATTAATAATTCAAAAATCAATTTATAAATTTAAAAAATAAATTGATTATTGAACGTCAATTATTTTCAAAAATACAAAGTTCAATAATAACTGACAGTCAAATACCAATCAATAATTCAATAAAAATTGACAGTTAAACAAAAATTGTCAGTTAAATACCAATTGATAGTTTAATACCAGTTGCCAGTTTAAATCAATTAACAATTCAAAAATCAATTGATAATTTATATACCTACGGAAAAAATACAAAGTAACTTCTAATATTTCTACAGTAAAATCTAAAATATCTGGAATACCTGGATTCCTGTACATTTCTGTCCCGCAATTTTTACTATTTTCGAAATACATTTTACTACCTACAAAGTAAATTTAATCAATTTTAATTAAACTTATTTCGGAAATAGTAAATTAAATTTTTTTTGTAATTAAATAAAAATTTAATAAAAAGAATAAGAAGCTAATAAATAAAAATTGCAGGACAGAAATGTGTAGAAATTTCCGCAGGTTCAAGTTTTACTATAAAAATAGTAAAAAATAATTTGTACACCGAAAAAGATATAAGATAATTTTTAATATTCTTACAAAAAAATATAAAATGTCCGAAATTTTTGCTCATTTTTGTCCCGAAATTTTTACTATTTCCAAAAAAAATTTTACTGCCTACGAAGTAAAATTTACCAATTTTACTTCACTTTTTTTTGTAATTAAATAAAAAAGTGGTAAAAAAATAAGAAACAAATAAAAATTTCAGAATAGAAAAATGTGTAAAAATTGCAGCCAATTTATTAAAAAAAACTTTACTGTAAAAATAGTAAAAGTTACTTTTTCACATTTTTTCCCCTAAAGAAATGAATGAAAATTTCGAAAATAATTTCATGATATAGAAAATCAATTGATTTCATGTAATTATTTGTTAATTTACATATTATTTTCTTTTTCAATTTTTGATAAATTCAAATTATATATTTTTCGATCGGCTGATGAGAGCCGATCTGCGTTACCACAAGCAAAAGTAAATAAATAAATAAAAATCTTTCGATTCTTGATGAACGAAAGTTGATGACAAAATAATGTCATCGCAAATTCTTCCCGAAATAGATGAAATAAATGAAATAAACTTTAATGTGTCCTCGTTCTTGATTAAAAATTCTTAATCAAAATGAGGATAATTTTACAAGAAAAAAAAAAAATGTCGATTAGGATAGTATCAATTCTTAAGACTTCGAGGAGCTGCAATTTTTTGATGACACTATAATGTTAATTATAAAAAAAAAAAAAAAATTAGAATGGATAAAAAAACAAATAACAATGGAAATGAGTCAATGCGGTTGTGACCAAACTAAAATTAAAAAAAAAATACATGGGATCAGCTTAGAATGCAGTTTGTCATAATAAACTTTAATATTTATAGTAGAGATCAATCAGAATGCGTAAATTTGTTAAAATTCGTCTCGAATTTAAAAAGGACGATTTTTTTCTTTGCGATTGTACAAGTTTTGACACAATTGACGTCTAGGCGATGCCATTTCAAATAAGAGAATATACACACATTAATGATATTCTTGCAATCTTGAATGCATATTATTATTAATATGCAAAACTTGTTTTTTATATACATAAAAAAATTTTTTTTTTTATTAAACTTGACAAATTTTTTGGTGCGTTTGTGGATTGCGAAAAAAAAACTCTTTTTTTTAAATAAAATTTCGACAATTAATGGAAAATGCGAAGAATGTAAAGTTTTTCTGCCTACTATTATAATTATTATTATAATTATTATTTACGATTTATTACAATTTATTTAGAAAAAGGGCAATTAAAGCTCAATTAAGAAGTTTTCGTTGTTGAGAAATAATTTTGGCTTTCTTTGTACTTGTTTCTTCACTTTGTATAAAAATCAAGTATTACGTTTCTGAAAATTTTTCGATGAAAAGAAAAATTATTTTTATTTCTGTGGTATGTAACTTATTAAATGCAGTTTGTCTTTATTTTTTTTTTTTAATTTTTTTTATTTATTTATTTTTCGATTTATTTTTTTTCGATAACATTTTTTTTTTGTACTTTATTTATTTTTATTTTTTTTTTAAGATTAAAAGTAAAATGAAAGGAAAAAAATTTGGAGAGAACAACAAAAAATGTGCGAAATTAAATTATTTGACGACAGAAAGTGTGGAAATAGCGACTGGATGAGCCTGATTGGTGGTGGTTGGTTGCCTTGTATTGTTTTTTTTTCTGAAATGCAATCCTCGTTCCTTCCGTGCGTTTTCATATGCAAAAAGAAAAATGAAATCTTTTTTAGTAATCATGGGACGTCGATCGCTAAATCCACGATTAATCGAAGCACTATGCGTATAAGAAATTAATTATATGATAGTATTAAATTTATACATATATTATATAAAAAAAAAAAAATAAAATAACGGACGTGTCAAATCCGGAGCATTTTTGCAGATACTTTTTGTTATTCATGATTTTTTTTTGCGCTCATTCATTGTCAGCCCGTCTTTTTTTTATTTTCTGGTAATGTTTTGTCCTTTTTTTTAGAGAAAATTTTTTTTTTTTGAAAAAAGCAGACGGGTTAGTCTGTAAAGGAACTGTAAACTTATAATATAAACAAGCCTTTAGTTGGGATCAGCGAGGTGGGTCCATTTTATGATGTTATACACTTTGCGAAGGACACGACACCTCCATACGACGTAAATTATACAAAAATATACTACACGTATGTAAGTTACTTTTAGAATATTTGAGTAAAAAAACATACATAGTTTATAGCGTTTTATTAAATGTTGTGAAAAAGTCATTTAATGTTGTACTTGTCGACTTTGTACCCTTCAATTTTTTATTTTAAGAGTATATTTATAAATTTTTATTTCTAGTTGTATAACATTTTTAATTTAGTTTTAGTTTCGTTTGTCACTTAATTCATTTATTTTGTAATTATTACTAATTTATTGATAAAAAATTAATTACTAATAATTTATTAATTTATTATTAATTAATTAATTACTAAATTTATTCATTTGTAATTAATTATTAATTTATCAATTCGTAATTACTAATTTTAATTTGGAATTAATTATTAATTTATTAATTTGTAATTAACTATTAATTTAGTGATTCATTAATTAATTATTGGGAATTAATACATTTTATAATTGTTAATTAGTTGTTTATTATTGAATTCAGTATTTGATAATTGAATTCATTAGTAACTTATTATTAATTTGTAATTAACGATTAATTTAGTAATTCATAATTAATTAGTTATTTATTATTGAATTCTATGTTTAATAATTAATTGAATTTATTAGTATAATTTATTGATTAATATTAGTAATCGATATTAGTAATTGAATTTAATGATTAATTAAATTTAGTTGGATACTATATTTAATTAATTTTTTAATTAGTATATTTAATGAATATTTATTTTTTTCAGGGCCCTTATTTTTTGTGCAATTTCGCGATTATATATTTTTTCTTTTATCAAAAAAAAAAAAATTACAATTTAAAAAAATTATTCATTATCATTTCTTGAAACAAATTTTAAAGAAAAGCAGAAAATTTTAATATATTTTAGAAAATTACGAATTAATTAACTAGAGTAAAACAACAAGAGTAATTAATTTAAAAGTTTTCTTTACTTTCTGACAAAGCACATATTTTTAATTTTTTACAAAAACAGTTTATTTTGACAAAAAACCATTATTTTAAGTATCACATTAAATTACTATATTTTTAATTTTAATTATTTATTTAATTAAAGTTATTTTATGAAATTTTTTTTATGTGATAAATTTATTATTTATAAAATAAATCGATTTATTATTATTTTGTAATAAAAATTATTTTGTAAATTACAAACTAGTTAAACTTTAACAAAATTTTAACAAAAATTATATTTATTATTTTTTATTATCTTATTTTTTTCTATTTTTTAATTACTTTTTTATTTATTTATTATTTATTGTTTACTTATTATTTTTTTCCTCATTTATTTTGTGTATTATCATGAATATTAATTATTATTAATACATATTATAATTTATTATTACTTCAATTAAAATAATTAAAACAATTAACATCCAAAATATTAAAAAAGTAAATATTTGAATTTTTATAAAAAGGGAAATACCACCGGGAATCCCCTGTAAATGAAAATTTCTTTTTTATGGTTTTTTAATTATTTTTCAAACTAAAATGTCGTATAACGGTAAATTAAGTAAAACTTTGTATTACAAACTCGAATTAAATAATTTACTTTGTATACTAATGGGATATAACAATTAATCTGCAATGTTTTTAATTGAAAAAATTATTGAAAATTTGAATTTAGCGCGCTTAGTGAAAGTGCGCACGCGCGCGTGGTCCGAAATTCAAAATGGCGCCGCAGCGGGAATTAGTCAATTGTCGTGTGTCAAACACATGCTTCTTTTTTCATAAACAAACTGTTGTTGTTATTGGTTACTTTCTCAGAAAGGTTGACAAAGAATTCACTTGCGAAAGAGTCGACGGTGTTAATGCGTGTAGAATGCAAATTGAAATTGCATCGAGAGTGACACTTGTATTTGTCGTTGTCGCTCTCCTACTGGTGGGGAGCCTGTGGGAAGGGAATGGCGTCTTTATTTAGTATAGGCTTTATACAGAGGTTAGTTGATCGTAGTGCGTCGACAGGTTGTGAAAAAGTAACATGTACATTTTGACAATTGAATCAAGTGAAGTTGAATAAAATGATTGGAAATTGACGTTGAGGTTAGAAAATGACAGTCGACAAGTTTCAATGGAATCGACGGACATGAGAGCAGCGTGTTTTGAATTAGTGTCGTTGACGTTTCTTGTGTCAGTGTCCTTCTCGTCTCTCTCTCCCTCCTTTGAATCTCAATTCATTTCATCATTGTCGCGAACAAGTGTTTAGAAAATATCCATCTCTCTCTCTCTCCTTTTCTCTTGTACGATGCCATATGACAGGTACGAGAGATGCAAGTGCTTCGAAACGAGATATTGGATGGCCAAAGGAATTTGACAAAATCTTTTTTGGTAAAATGAAATTCTAAAAGAATCACGTAATGAGGATAATAGAGGATTACAAGTGCAGGGACGAGAGCGATTTCCATCACGTTAGTGGGCTATGAGCGCTGACAATGGGGACGACTCCTTGGTAATTATTCTTACTTTCATTTTTTTTTCTTATGACCAATTTGATCTGGCTGATATTGTTACGTTCTCCGGAAGTTATAACTGGAGATTTGTTTGAAATTATCAGACCAGATGTAATTAAATTTTATTGAAAACTGCGAATAAAATTGGTGACTGGAAACATCTGTTCGTGGGGTGTCTGTATAGAGCTTCGGTTCCTTTTGGAACCTGCTGTGCTTCCGGTTACCGGTACTTAATTAATTTTATAGACTGGCTTTAAACAATTTATTACCTTCACTTTTTATTGTTCTACATTTTTTTTAAATTCTCTATTGTATTTTCTAGATTCTCATATAACTCAAGAAAAGTAACCGAATTTTATTACAAAAATTAATTTCGTAAAAACCATTTTCACATTTTTAATATTTAAATTTTTTGTTTTAATTTATTAAAAGTATTTTTTAAATTGATTCTCTAATTAATAATTTTATTCTAAATTAATAACTAAAGGATAAATTTCAAAAATACTGTTTATTATACAATAAAATTTCATTCTCTTCTTATTTACAAATAAAAGAAATTTGTTATTATTTCATTTCTTTCAAGTGTTATCAAGGTCAGTGTGTTTCTCGATTTTTCTACAAATACCAAACATATTTATTTGATTCTTTCTTTATATCTTTCTTGATTTTGAATTTTTTAAATTTTAATTCAATACAAATTGAAGATAATAAAAAATAAAAGCTAATTATTTTTTATATGCTTCTTTATACATAAAATAAATAAATAAATCGTTGGTTGAGATATGGTCTTAAATAAATATTTATTTAACAAAATTTACATTCAAAAATTTTATAATTTATTTTTATACGTGACGCAATATTTTATAATAAAATTATTAATTTTAATAAAGTTTTTTCGGCTTCAATATTTACAAACATGATTCTACTGAAATGGAAAATAATGTAAATTAAACATTTACGTAGGAATTAATTTTTTTTAATACACAAAATAATTTTTTGTACAAAATATAAATTAAAAAGAAGTGAAAAAATTGTCCTTCATTTAAACATTCTAAACTTTAGAAACAATTTAAAGATTCAGAATTTCAAATACAAATAATTTTTTTATTTCAACTTGAACGATAAGTTTTTTGTTGAACTTGAATTTTATTACAAATTAAATATTTGTTTATTTATTTATTTATTAATGTAAAATATTATAAATACAATTGTTCATTTTCATACGTTTAAAATAATTAGATACATTTTTTTGCTGTTTTTTTGTACTATTAAAAAAAGGCAGTGAAAAAAATATTTTTCCTTTGAAAAGATAACATTTAGTTATTTATGTTAGAAACCTCATTTTAGTGTTGGTCCCGAGAAAATTCTTAATTATCTATTTATTCATTTTCTCATTAAAAAAAAAACTTGAAATAACTTGTTGAAGATAATCTTTTACAATAACGCAATGTGTAACCATTATTTCTTTTCTTATTCAAAGATTTATTTACTTTTTGTAAATAATATTTTTTTCTTAATTTTTATTTAAATTTTTTTCCGCGTATTTTTAAGCTCCAATTTTTAATATCTGTAAAGTAAACTTTGCTCTATTCAAAGTGAAGTTTACAAATTTTTAATGAAATTAACTTCGAAAATTGTGAAATTTACTCCAAAATTGGTCAAAATTGCTAAACTAAACTTCGGTGAAATTCACAACATGTTTATGATCAATAATTAAAAGAAAATAATATTTTTTCTAACGAAATGAAGAAAACGGTGCAAAACTTTTTTTAAATGAAAACAAAAATCTAAAATAATATAAAAATATTTTCTCTACAAAAAGTTATAAAAATATTTATATATATATAAAAATATTTTTTACGTAAAAATTTTAATATATGAAAATAACTTTTATACAAAGTTTACAAAAATTAAAGTATAAAATTATTTTTTGTACAAAAAATTGTAAGAATTTAAATATAAAAATATTTTTTCTTCTAAATTGTTGATTATATAAATTATCTAAATCTAAATTAGTGAAAATTCGTCAGCTAATTAAAAATAGTAATGATTTTCACTAACTTAGTAAAATTTTGCTACTTAATTTAGTAGTTTTAATTTTATTAATTTGAACTATTTACTTAAGTTTTAATATTGAAAACTACTATACAAATTAATGGAAATTTTTACTAATTTAAATTAGTTGATGACATTTTGCTAATTTAGAGATTCAGAAAGAGAACGTTGAGTAAACGTCACCAAAACGTCAGAATGAAAATGAAGTGAAAATATATGTAAATTTTTGAGAATGAGTTCAATGAACGTAATTGAAATTATTTTCTTTTGAGATGCAATTGAACTTCTTTTGTATTAGAAATAAAAAAAGGAAGGCAATAAATGCGAACGGGACGTAAAAATGCTTTAGACTTTTGCCCCACCCTATTAATTTCGTCAAGTTGAGAGGCTAAGCAATTTGTTCTCTTCTAGACGACATTCTATTCAATTTACTGGTATTACATGTTCAAGCCCTTTTCTTGTATTCTGTTATTTGATTTCGCAAATTGAATTCGTATTTATCAAGGAATACGAAAAATACTATCATTTAAATATTTTCAGCTATTTGGACAAAATATTTTATTTTTACATGTAAAATAATTTTATTCTACAATCTAAATATTTTTATAGATTTGTCTCTAAAATAAAGATGAAAAACGTATTAAATTTTGAAACTATGTAAATTATTCTTTATAACACGTGACGTAATATTATTATAATAATATTTAATTTTGAAACAGAAAGCTTGTTGATTTGAACGTTCAGACTTTTAAGGACATAAATTGGAAATATTTTCCAAATTTCGTTCATGAAATTATTATCTTTAATTGCCCAGAAAATTATTTTTTTGATTCTGAATTTTGATGAAGCGTAGAGTTAAAAAATAGCTTCTTTTATTGTAATAGTAGCCCAGTTTGACGATATTATTATTTATATTGTCAAGTGCAAAAATATTTCTAAAAAATTGAACTGAAGGAAGGAATTCTGTTTTGATATCGTATAATTCAAATTCAAATCCTTGTATTATGATTCTGACGCAAAAAACAGGATATGATTCTTATTAGGATAAGACTTTAGAGTCAATATTTTATACGAGAAAAATTTGAATTTAGATGATCAAATGAAAATTTTGTTATTTGAATCTTGTGAATCCTGAAATTTCTATTTTATGGAAAGATTTATTCCTTTTCTTCCTTCAGTTTTTTTTTCATATCTACATAAGAATTTAAAAGTTATATATACACACGGTGGTTGTTTTGTTATACACTGGTTGCTGTAAAGAAAGTTTCAAAATTTTCGTTCAGACAAAAGTCATTTATTTCCCCCGGAAAGATTTCTTAACGAGCCAAAAATTTGTATTCTAAGAAACAAATAAAAACTCTTTGAAAAATAAGATTTCATCAAAATCTTACCTTTGCTTTGAGAATGTAAAGTAATACGTGTCAAGTCTAACGAGGCGCGTCGTGGAATGCAGAGCGAGAGAAGTTCGCATTCTGTGTTCGAACTTTACAGTTTTGTCGAGAGAAAAGGAAAAGGCCGAGGTTACAATAGACATTGATTATATATAGTAACGTTAATCAACGAAAGACAAATCTCTATCGTTTTCAAATTAGAACACGAGAAGAAATTTGATAGGAACCAATGAAAATTGATTGGGTTGACAAAAATTTGGTTGGGAAAATTAGAGATTCTTGTGGACCAAAGAAAAATTGGACAGAAGTAATAAAAGTTTTCTTAGATGCACAAGAGTTTGATTAGAAAAAAAGAAAGTTTTCGTGGACCAACAAAAAATTTGGGTTGAAATTATGGTAGGATGAATAAACCAATAATTTGATTGGACCAAAAGTTTTCTTGGTCCAACGAAAAATTGTTTATAGGACGACTAAAAATGTTTGTCAACGAACAAGAAATTGGTTATGACAATTAAAAATTCTTTTGGACCAACAACAAACTTATTGTATTTAGAATTTTAATTTTTGTAAATATTTCATATTTTTATATATAAATATTTTTAAAGAATATTCTCTTCTTCTTAAAGAAACAGGTTGAGGAGGTTAAAGTTTTGAACGTTCAAATCAACAAAAATTTGGTAGGAACGATAAAATGTTTTTATAGACTAAGAAATATTTGGTTCAATCTACAACAGTTTTCTTAAGCTACCAAAAATAATTGGTGAGAACTACTAAAAATTTTCTAGTATCGACAAAAATTTGGTTAGAACTATTAAATGTTTTCGTGGACTAACAAAAATTTGAAGGGCACTAATAAGAATTTTTTTGGACCAATCAAAATTTGATTAGAACTACTAAACATTTTTGTGAAAAAAAAAATATTTGAAGAAACATTTGAAAGTTTTTTTGGATTAACACAAAACTTGTTTAAAAAAAATTTAAATTGTTTTTTTGAAGCAGCAAAGAAATTTGGGTGCAACTACAAATTTTCTTTGATCAACACAAAATTTTGTTGGAAATACTTAAAATTTTCTTGGACCAACAAAAATTTGTTTGGAGTTACTAAATAATCTTGGAACTAATAATAATTTTGAAGGTCTGTGAAGCTGGCCGAACCACTTTTATAAAAATGAATTTAAATTATACCATTAATTAGTGCTCAATTAGTGCTATTTTTGTACCATATTGCCGAATTTAGTGCTCAATGTTTATTTAAAAAAAACAATGGTTCTGCTGAGTGAACGTTCCGCTGGCCGGACCATAACGAAAAACGCTTTAAAAACGCCAACAGAATATTTATAAATAGCCTATTATTTAGTGCTCAATTAGTGCTCAAAGATTAACAAAATAAAAAATTTTTTTATTAATTATTTATTTAAAAAAAAAAAAATTTTTTGAATGAGTGAGTAATCCGTTAGCCAGACCATAACGAAAAACGCAATAAAAACACCAACAAAATATTTATCGATAGCCTATTATTTAGTGCTCAATTAGTGCTCAAAGATTAACAAAAT